TTAGGCAGAGAAAACTGCACTTGCTCCATTCCAAGCCTGCAGATCCTGGAAAAAATCACTCATTCAAAAATAATGAGAAACACTGAGAAATTTTTTTTTTTTGGCCTTTGCCTTTATTGGTTTTTTGGTGTCTGGGGTTTATTTTCTTTCTTTCTTTCTTTTTTTTTCCCTTTCTATCAATTTTGTTTTCCTTCATAATAGGATCCTTTATTTCACTTTTCTCTCCTCCTCATCTTCCTTTGCTTAATTTTTCAAACATTACTTTTTTCATGCTCCCATTCCCGACACCTATCTTTACTAATATAAACATTAAGCTTTATTAATCTTTAGGTAGTTAACTCTATGCTATTACTGTAGAGGGTTTTTCTATTGTTAGTGGAAGTATAGCTGTTACATTTAGTGCATATTTACTCTGTGTCAATATTTGATTTGATTTGTCTTACTGCTTATCATAGTAGATCTCCATATGGTTAAAAGTGGTGACACACCCCTGTAATTTCGGTACTTGGTTTTGTTTTATGTTTTCTTGGTTTTTTGAGACAAGGTCTTGCTACACAGCCCAGGCTGGCCTTGAACTCACTGTGTAGGCTAGGCTGGCCTCAAATTTGAGGCAATACTCCTCCCATAAAGACCAGTGGTCTGATATTTTCCAATAACAATTATAAACATATATGCACTGAAAACCAGAACATGCAACTTCATAAAAACAAACACTGCTGGACATAAAAGATCAGATGACCATCAACACAACTGCAGTTGGGGATTGTGATACCCCACTGTCACAAATAGATCAGCTAGACAAAAAAAAACAAGTATCATAGTTCACCCGAACCTCTGAACAAATGAATTTAATAGATATTCACAGAGTGTTCAATAAGAGAATACACATTTTTCTCAGCAGCACATGGAACTTTCTCAAAAATAGATCACATGCTAGCCCATAAAGTCAAAGAGCAGATTCTGAAGTTTGACAGATGTATATTTTCAAATTCAGAATCTTCTACATACTAATAGCATAAACTTGGGCAAATTTCCCTTAGCTTTAGGTTCATTAACTCCACAATGAGAAAAATAAGCCCTCCCCTCAGGGCTGTTTATTTGTCCACGAGAAGAACCTGACAAAAACTAGGTATATTCAATATAAGTTCCCAAATTTCTCCTCCACCCACTCCTGCAAGGTGGGAAGGGAATGGAGGGAAAAAACACATCACCCAACATGATCCCAACATGACAGGAACCCCCAAAATGGGGCCTGGTCCACAGTGGGTGCAGTTCAGCCTAAGTGGAATTCTCTAGATGGATAGGGCTGGTTTCAAGTCTGAGGAACAGTCCTAAAATTCAATCCTTGGTTGGCCCCCAGGGCCTTAAAAATATTCTTAAAGAATAGATGGCATGGTAGCCTGTGATCTAGAGTGGTCACAAACCAAGCCTAGCTAGCTTCAGAATACAGGTCAAGTGTGCCTGTCTTGATTAACTAGTTACTCTACTTAGTTGCTAAGCCTGCCAGGGCAGGGTCCATTCCTTAGTTTCAGCCTCAAAGACCAACTGTGACTTCGATCCAGTTGGTCTGGAGGTCAGTGCTTTGTATTCCAAACTGGATTCCCAGCTTTGTCCAGCCCTCCCAACCACTGCCTGAAGAATGCCTCATCAGTCGAACACTCAACTCTCCTAAACAGGCCTTTGAAAACCCTTCTGGTCTCAGTATTATTTATGATACAATAACTCTCCCTTAGGAACGGCGAAAGACGTCGGATTCAGGGCAAAAAGGTGCAAGAAAACAATACTTTTCCTAATTATGACAAAGCAGGGAAGAGGATGTATCGAGGTAGAGTAAAAACAGGGCTGTGGAAACCCAGGAAGCCCAGCTGGCAGCTCCTCTATGAAGCTGCACTCTCATGTGTGAGGGTCATTGAAGGGGTTGAAGCAGCCACATCGTGCTGCCCAAGGCTCCTGAGTGGTCTTTAACACTTGCAGCCTTTCCTCTTCACCTGTAGGTTCTCCTAAATCCTCTTTAGTCTCTAGCACCTGGAAGAGATGCATTCCTGAGACTTCAAAAGAGGATCTGGGTGACAGTTCAGGGTTCCCCAACCCAAACACCCCTGTGGAGACCACGGTTTTCCAGAGATAAGGTTGTCCCCAAGGCACAGCCCCTCCCCCCATGATCTCAGATAAACTTAAACCTCAGCAGGACTTTAAACACTAATTTGCAGAAATCTCCTGATGCCTTTCTAAAACACTGCGGCCTAACATCTCTTTTTTTCCATCCTAGGACACTAGTTGAGTTTAAACTGTCCTTGATGACTCTGGACCATCATCCAAAACAGGGCTCATACAAACCAAGTGCCACTAAGAGCAGTTGGGCACTTGCTGACCTGAAACATCTGAGATTCTACCCTTTTAGTTTTCCTGGTAGTCTTCTAGTCAGCCTCTCCTAGAGGATGCCAGATGCTAGTACTGGAATGTGCTGTTTCTCTGTTTCTAGTGTTATCTGGACACATAGCTGGTTAAAAAGCTACCACAAATGACCGAATAGAGGTGTAGGGATCAACAGGGGTTCCCTTTACAAATACGGTAAATGTACGTAGGGGCAGGGAGTTTCACTCTCCTCTGGGCCCAGAACAGTGTAATGAATAGCACCTGGCACATAGAAGGCTCACAATTAATATCTGCTGAATGAAAGGGCAAACACTCTGCTCTCGAACAAAACGCAATGAGAAAGCCTCAACTCTGTCAATTCCTGGGGACCCGCTGAGCTGTCCTGACCACAGGAGATCTTACCACTTTCACAATTTCCCCTTCCACCTGCTAACATTTCTTGAAAACTCAAGTCTAGGAAAGGGAAGAACGTACTAAAGCAGACTGCCAGGGACAACCAAGGTGGGAGCTAAATGTTACCCCCAACAGCCACATCACACAGTGAGTAAAGAATTAGCAGTCACCCAGCCCTTCCCCAGAAACTCCATAACTGGTTCTACCACTTTCAGCAACCACAGCCCCAGAGAAGGGGGGGCCCCTGCAAGCTGGGTTTCCCCACTGGGCTTTGCCCCAGCTCACAGCAGGCCTCTGACAAGGCTCAGGCCTCCAGATTCACCTCTTGATGGGAAGGAACTCCTGACTCACCCCAAAAAGCAAGGAGCTAAGGGGCCCAATAAATAGAAAAGAGCCATCATTAACTTAAAAGAAAGGTGCCCTACAAAGAAGAAGAGATCATTATTTTTAAAAAGGCTGCTGTCCTTTCTTATAATAAAACTTGGAGCCAGGTAAGTAAGTGGTACAAGTAATTAGGACCAGTTCTCAAAAGCCAGGCTTATAGGTTAGACTCAAATAAGGACACATAGGGAGGCAGCGCTATGTGACAACGACTGAATAAACAAACCATCCAAAGTGAATCAGCCAGAAATCCATTAGTAAGCCTAGGGCCCCCCCCCGAAATGAGGACAGTAATCACAGCTGGGGCAGTCATTCCTCCCAAGTCTGAGAGAGGCAACCATCTCTTCATCCTCTCATTAGCAGAGGCACCAGAAGTTATGTATCTGCCTGGCGTCACATCAGTAAGGGAACCACAGAGCTCTGGAACTTATCTAGGAGCCCCCTCTGCCTGAAAGAGGCCACTTTCACTTCTTACAGCCCATGGCCCACAATGAGGCAGTACACTAAAGAAATGCCCAAGGGCCAGCAATTTAGCTCAGTGGTGCCACCTGCCTTGTAAGTGCAAGGTCCTGAGTTCAATTCCCAAATGTTCAGATACTGTTGAGACTGCAGGCTGCTCCCAAGGCTCAGCACAAGCACAAAAGCAGAATGCCACACACCACCCCACCCAGGCCAGTACCCTTGGTACAAGGGCTCCACAATATGAGCCTGCCAGTGGTACTGCAATGATTCTGGGAGAATCTGGACCCACGCCAGTGCTCCTCTCAAGCTGCCAATCATGGACTGTGGATGAGACTCAGGACAGGGACCTGTGCTGTCTGGAACAACTGGGAGTGGGCACTGGGCCCAGCCTGCTTCTCCCAAAGTGTGGTCTGTAAGCCACGGGGGATCTGGGTCCTCAGCCCACTTCCTGGGTCCCTCTGTAGCGTCCTGATCCCTCTGTTCTCCCTTCCTTTAGCCCGCAAGGCATTCCTTCCTGGCACTCAACTCTTACCCTGACCTCCTCTTCCTCTGTCCTCAAACCAGTGACCTACCTGGAATCCAGTTCACCGCCTTCCTCCTCCTTACGCCACCATTCTCTTGATTTCACTCCTCCTTCCCACCCACTCCCTAAGCACTTCAATTCTCAGGCTCAGACCCCAAAGCCCTTTCCCACCTTCTCTAGGTTTTAACCCCTCTATCTGCCACATGGCCTGGGTCTAGCAGGCCCTATTCTCTCTCCACTGCCTGCTGTCACCCTCAACCCATAGAGACTCAGATCTCCAGCTACAGACCGCTCTCTGCTCAGGCTCTGCCCCTTCCCTGGGAGGCTGAACACCCTCTCTTTGAGCCTGGTACTTCCCACACTCCCACATTTCATTCAATCCTCTTTTCCCCTTAATGCACTGGTTTCCTTTTTAAACAATTTATGTTAGGGCCGAGGATTTAGCTCAGTGGTTCTGCCGCCTGTATTGATCTCCGCTACCTCCCCCAAAATGTGAAAACAATTTGTGTTAGTAAAAAGAAGTGTGCTTTGCATGTCGTGGAGCACGCCTGTGATCCCAGCCCTCGGGAGGCGGAGGCAGGAGGATCCACATGAGTTTGAGGCCAGCCTGGGCTCCATAGTGAGACAGACCCTGTCTCAAAATTTTAAAACGTGTTGATTTAAAGAAAATAAAAGGATGGGACAGCAAAAATAGGGAGGAGTGAAATATATTTTGCAAATAGAAAAATTTTGAATGGTGCCATAGCTAAAATGGAAACTGCACTGCATAATTTTAACACAAACTATAACACAGTTCCTCAAGCTCTCCACTGTAGTTCATTCACCCGTGTCCAGCAGCTGGACTCACTGAGAGCCAAATCTCTACCTGTGTCTCTGATGAAGCAGGGAGGCTCTCTGGGGCCCACAGACCTTCACTGTTACCTTGATTGCTCCTGGAGTGTAGGTCATGGAAAGAACTCTGAAAGAGGAGTAGAAAATTCAGGTTTGGGCAGGGGTTTTGCATTTACTAGCCTTACACTGGGCAAATTAAACTCTTTGAGACTTGGTTTTCTCATCTATAAATTGGAGCTAATAGTCCTTGCCTACCTACAGTCTTGTTTTGAAGATCACATCAAATGAGATAATTTATGTGAAAGCACTTTGGTATCATATAAATGTGAGGTATAATCCTGAATGCTAATGAATAGCTTACAGCTTACAAACACAAGTGAATCACCCTTTTGACTTAACAGGTAGCTCAGTAACTTCAAAACTCCAGAGCTGCAGCCAGACAGAGTTAACCATCAGAGATACTGGGAGGACTAAGAGGCCCCGTGCTAAGAACTTCCCACCTCAGGCCAGGCCATGGTGAAAGAAAGATGTCTTTGAATGCAACCAGGCTCAGTGCTCAGCACCTTGAGGTCTCAGCACTTGGTCTGGAGAAAAGAGGCTTCAGAAGGGCTCTCTGGAGACAGGGACTACGTCAGGCACACCTCAAATCCAGAAGTGGTCCACAGAATATAGTTTAATCACCCTGTGACCCAGAGGCCCAGACACACTTCACTTTCCAGATTCATCTTCCGCAACATCCTCAACAAACTCTAGGTGATGCCCCCGTTCCTTGTCCTGAAAGGCACATTTACTGCTACATCTTCAACTCATGCTGCTCCGCTGAGCCTTGTGTGTGTGTGTGTGTGTGTGTGTGTGTGTGTGTGTGTGAGAAACAAGGTCTTGCCATTGCAGTTCAGGCTGGACTTGGACTCACGGTGATCCTCCTGCCTCAGCCACCTAAGTGCTGAGGTTACAGGGTGCAACATCACACCCGGCTCTGGCAACGGCATTGATGTGTCATATTCAGATATGAAAATATGTAGTTCAAATAAATATATTAGCTAGCATACAGATACAAATAGTCTTTTCCTTGAAGTAATTTACATGCCATAATATAGCCTCCCTCCCTTAAAATGTCAATGCTAAATCTCCTTGGTAGTTTCCCGAAAAACAGACTTAAAATTTGAGTCTTAAAAGAGTTGAACAGCCAGGCCTGGTGGCGTGCTGGTGATCCCAGCACTTAAAGGCAGGCGGATCACAAGTTTAAGGTCAGCCTAGGAAACTTAGCAAGATCCTGTCTCAAAATTAAAAGAACATTGAGGGTTGAGGATATAGTACTTCCTGGGTTCAATTCCCAGTACAGAGGGAGAGAGAAGAAACAACAAACAAAAACTGAGGTGGGCCAGGGCACGGTTGTGCATGCCTATAATGTCAGTACTCAGGAGGAGGATCACAGCAAGTTTGAGGCCATCCTGGGCTACATAGTGAGTTCAAGCCTGGCCTGAACCATATAGTGAGACTCTGTTCCAAAAAATAAAAATAAAAAAATAAAGAAAGAGGGCCGGGGATTCAGCTCAATGGTGCTGTACCTGCCTGCTTTGCAAACACAAGGTCCTGAGTTAGATGTCTCATAATGAAGAAAGGAAGGAAGGAGGGAGGGAGGGAGAAGAGGAAGGAAGGAGGGAAGAAAGAAAGGAAGGAAAAGAAAGACGATCAATATGTTTTTTTAAATATGTGTTTTTAAATAATTTGGCTTGACCAAGTAATAGCTATCAAGATAAAGGGAGCTACATATCCTTCCAACAGGCTTTAAAAGAAGGTCTAGTCTGCTATGGATGGAAGATAAAGATGAATGTGGGCTGGATATATCACTCTGGGCTCTAGTCTGGGCCCACAGCTCACTCACTGGATAGCCTGAGACACATTCTATAACCTCTCTGGACCAATGATCACAGTAAATGACCCTGAAAATCCTTCTAACTCTGCTGTGATGTCTTATTTTCTCCCTCACAGTCTTGCATAAAAACACCTCAGGGAAACCTGCCCTGGTTCTGCCAATCATCTGAATCATGTCTTCTTTATCTTACACCATTTTTCTTTGTATACTTTCATCAAAGCTCTTACATTTTGCCTCAGAGTTCACTGTAACTATGCCATGCACGCTGTCAGAAAGCAGATGCAATAGCTTATTCAGCATTCAAGTTCCACCATGCCCACAGTACCTTGACTACAGTGACAGACTCTGTCGATATGTTGGTGTGACCAAAACAGTGAACTGTGGTGACCCTCCATTTTGTTCCACTTGACTCCCCTATCTCCTGCCTCAAATGAGAACTACTCCTGTGTTGTTAGATGAATCAGCACTGATCTGTCCAGACTAGAATGAGTAAGAAGGGTAAGGGTAGAAAGAAAACTCGGGCACAAACTAAGGGTGATTTTTACTTGACTTTAAAGCTTACAATAACAATGACAAGGAAAAGAACTGTCCTGCAGGGAGCACTCACTCTGTGCCAGGGTCTGCACTAGTGTTCTGTGGAGATCAGACCTCACAAACAGTGAAATCAAGGAAGGACTGTCATTCTCATTGTGCAGATGGGAAACCAAGGCACAAAGAAGTTAAATATTTGCTCAGGGTCACCAGCCAGGCAAGTCATAGAGCCAACAGACACATAGTTTGACTACAAAATTCTCTCTCTCTCTCTCTCTCCCTCCCTCTCTCTCTCTCTCTCTCTGGTGGCATTGGAAATTGGACCCAGGGCCTTCACACTGAGCTACATTCCCAGCCCTTTTTTATTTTATTTTGAGAGAAGATCTTGCTAACTCACAAACCTGCCCTGGCTGGGCTCAAACCTGAAATCCTCCTTGCCTCGGTGGGATTACAGGTGTGCATCACCACCCCTAACTCAAAGTCTACCTTCTTAACTATAACTGCTGGTGAGTACAAAAGCGACTATCAAGGCAAAATTCTCAGCACTGTCCAATGCTCTACATTATGATTTCCATCCATTTTCAACACAATGTAGATGCAACAAGCAACAATTCTTGGCCTCACTGAAGATTAGATATCAACAGGAGGCTGAGGCAGGAGGACTACCATGAGTCTGAGGCCAGCCTTGGCTACACAGTAAGTTCAAGGCCAACCTGAATTACAAAACCAAGACCCCATTAAAAAAAAAAAAAAGATTAGATATCAAAACTGCTACTTTCTGCCAGGTGTGGGTGGTGCATGCCTGTAATCCCAGCACTCAAGAGACTGAGGCAGGAGGATAGCTGTGAGTTCGAGACTAGCCTGTGCTACATAGTGAATTCCAGGTCAGTCTCAACTACAAAGTAAGACCCTGCCTCAAAAAACAAAAAACAAACAAAGAAACAAAAAAAACTGTTACTTTCTGCATCAAATACACTTTGATTCTGTAGTAAACCACCTTCCAATTAGAAATGGTAAACTTCTAAGGAAATTAACTATGCTAGCCTCTACTAAGGGTCCAAAGGGGCGGCGAGGGAGGAGGGGGAGAGGGAGAGAGAGCTCTTCTCTTTACATGGACATCCTAGCACCAGGCACAGAGACTAGTACCCAGTAAGTATTTAATAAAAATGTCTAGGGGGCCGGGGATTTAGCTCAGTGGTTCTGCTGCCTGCCTCACAAACTCAAGGTTCCAAGTTCGATACCTGGTACCAAAACAAAAAAAAAAAAGAAAAGAAAAGAAAAAAAATCTGCTTTAGGGCTGGGGATTTAGCTCAGTGGTTCCACTGCCTTCCTTGCAAGTTCAAGGTCTCAAGTTCAATCCCGGTAGGGATAAATAAATAAATAAACAAGCAAACAAATAAATAAAGATGTCTGTGGGCGGGAGGCATAGCTCAGTGGAAGAGTGCATGCTCATCATGCCCGAGGTCCTTGTATTTGTCCCCAGCACCACACATACAAAAAAGTTTCTCAGGCCCAGGGACTTAGCTCAGTGGTGCAACCCCCTCACTCTCAAATACAAGGTCCTGAGTTCGATTGCCAGTACCAAAACAGAAAAAAGTTTCTTAGCTGGATGTAATGTCAGATGTCTATAATCTCAGCACCCTGTGAGGCTGAGGCAGGAGGGTAGCAAGTTCAAGTTCGGCCTAGGCAACTCTGCAACTAGCAAGATCCTGTTTCAAAATTTTAAAAACTAGCCAGGCATAGTGGTGCACAACTGTAATCTCAGCACTCAAGAGGCTGAGGCAGGACAACTGTCTTGAGTTTGAGGCCAGCCGGGGATACACAGTGAATTTGAGGACAGCCTGAAATACATAGTGAGACCCTGTGTCAGAAAAATCAACTAATCAATTATTCAATCAATATAAATAAATAAATTTTTTAAAAAAGAGCATAGAATGTAGATCAGTGTGAAAGCTCTGGGCTCAATCCCTAGTACCACAAAAAAAGCAGGTGGCAGGTGTGGTGGTGCATGTCTGTAATCTCAGCACTCAGGAAGCTGAGGTAGGAGGATTACCTTGAGTTTAAGGCCAGCCTGAGCTACATAGTGAGTTCAAGGTCAGTCTGAACTACAAAGCCAGACCCTATTTCAAATTTAAAATTTTTTTTTCTTCCTTATGGGAAATGTTTCTACCTCTCTCTGAAACACGCAAGGAGAGGGTGGGGATTTAGGTCAGTGGCACTGTGCCTGCCTTGCCAGCACAAGGTCCTGAGTTTGATCCCCAGTACAATAAATAAATACAAACAAGCACACAAGGAGAAAGGGGAAAGAAATGAAAAAGAACTAGAGAGAACAGTGTAGTTTCAGTTTAGAAAGGTTCAGGGTAAACTGGCCCTGGGTGAGGCACTGGGCACACAGCACATTGTTGTTGAGTCAGGGCTGTGCCCAGAGATGGGCCACCTCCTTCCTACCTGTGTGCCTGGAGGGTAGGGAATACAAATAAGTACAACTTCTTAGAAAGGCAAATTGCATTATGAGTTAAAAGTTTGTACACATATTTACTTTAGTCTAGTGATTTCACTTTGTCATAATATAGTACTGCCTGAGAAAATAATAATGCATAATCATTCAGCAAGGATTTACTGAACATTTATCAAGAGCTATGCATTGTTTTGGGTTAGGTTTTGTGTTTTGTTTTGTTTTGTTTTTGTACCGGGGATCAAACTCAGGACCTTGTGTTGTG